GGCAGAATAGCCCACACCCTTAAGGGCACGTGATTGCCTCTGCTTAAAATCTTAGTGAGTTTTTGGAGTCGTCTTCCTCCAGCATATCACTTCAAGGCTCTATTGTATCAAATACTTGATTTGTGTATCTAGCTGGTTTGATTGTAGAGAATTGGACTTCTGTTGGGGGAAAAAAAAAAGTTCTACAGAATGGACTTAGTAAAGAAAAAATCAGAAGAAAAGCATATGTGCAGAGACAAAGTGCAACAGATAGACTTCATAAAGCAGGCACTAGTCATCTGCTACCATAACTGAATGTTTGCAAATATCTGTTAATGAATATTTATGTCCAGAGGATTATTGACTAAAATAAACTGACAAATGGTCTTTGCACATCCAGAAACTTTGATTTGGTAAGATTCATGAGATTTCTGATGCTCCACATTTCCAATCAATGTAGAGATAATATCTCAGCTTTTTCTTATTCTACTAAACAATCATGAAAATGGGAAAATGAAAATATCCTGTGGTTTTGGAAACTACAGGAAAGATGTTAAAGGTTCAGCTCAGGTTTGGTTAGATCTGTTGGGCCAATGTCCATTTTCCCTGAGAAGGTTTATCAAATACAGATGAACTAGGAGGGATCGCGCCATGTAGTTTGCGATCTGTAACGGGCCATTTTGCGGTGCCCAGGGCCTTCGCAGCTCTGAGCGAGGGCAGTGCTGGGTGCCCAAGCTCACGCTGAGCTGCTCAGGGTGATTTCCCAGCAGTGCAAGGGAGGGACCACACTCCCATTGGAGAAGGCTCGTTTCAGCAAATGGAGGTGGCCAGCAACCTTTTAAATACTTTTCCACGTTGCGTTCCAGCCAGGACTAACAGATTCCTAAAATCGTCTTGAAGCTGGCTTCATTTTATGGTTTCCGTAGGAAACCTGGTATAACAGAAAGGAAATATTTTCTTTCTGTTGGTTACCTCTCGGATAAAGCGTGAAGGATTAGAGCAGTAGTGATTACTGCTCTCTCGTAAGCAGAAGAAAGGACAAAAAGCCTGTCAGAACCTTAGTCATTGATTTTCCTGGAGCAAAGGGTCATGTTAAGTACTATTGATAAAAAGCATCGTTGCGGTGTCCATGGAGACCAGGTTGAGGTGAAAGTGAACTGTTACTGTTACAGTGACAGCTTTAGGTGGATCTGTAAAGAACCTGCTTTTTCCTCTCATCATAAGGAAGATCTGATTTATTCTACCTTGAGCATTAGATCAAACCCATTGCTTCTGTGAGACCTGCTGTGCAGGGAGATGCAGGCACTGTTGACTTCAAGGCAGAGGAAGGGGTATTTGGGGTCTCCTAAAAACTGCTCAGCGCTTGCAGGTGTCGCAACTCCAAGTGCTTCGATGCTTCTGCTGGAACTCTTGTTTGTCTTTTTTAAATCAAAGTAGTGTCAAGTTCAGGCTAGAAATAGTATGGCTGCAATAGTTCCTTGTACCCCTAAAAACTATGCATGTATAAATCTCACAAGTAGTTGTACACATGTAGTAGTATGCCTGTGTGCAACAGGCTTTGTCTTCTACTGTGTTTGGGCACATGCTTGGAGAACATGCTTGGACACTGTGACCCTTATGCCAGTGTGCCCTTCCTTTGGGAGCCTTCAGAATTTTCTCTGCTCAGAAAGGTAGAACCAATGCTGCCTGGTCAGGGTCCCGCATGGAGCACCCCAGGCTCGTGCAACCTTATGATGAAATGGCTTGAGAGAGACTGGAGCCACTTCTGCTCCAGTTCCAAAATGATTATACCATCTATAGGTCTGTTAAATGGTTGCTGACTGGCCCCATCGAGGGGTTAAACCACCCCAATGGCAGATCCGTTTCTTGAGTATTGTTCCATTTGCAAGAAACTCTTTTCTTTGTTTGGGTGGACCCTGGCCTGGAGAACCCTTCCTCAGAACGAGCATAACCAATGCTATTGCTACCTCTCCTAGAGGGCAACAAATTGTCTTGGGGCCTTCTAGCTGTTTTAGGTCACACACAGCTCAGCAATCTTTTTTGTTTTAAATAGACAAAATGGAGCCTGTGGTTTGGAAATGATGGTGGATCAGCCAAAGATCCACTCAAAAGTCTGGGTCATCGGAAGGTCTTCCAAATCATGGGATTTCTTTCAAAATTAACTTTTGGTTTCTGTCAGCTGATTCAGTTCTAAATTGTCTATAAGCGGCACCTTCGGGTGTTACTGCACTTTCCAAACTGAGAGACCAGTGTGATTTGTCCCTTCTGGTGAGATTTTTCAATCCACAAATCATTCCTGTAACCATCTACTTGCATGAGCTGTGTAACAGGTCCTTGAAAGCATTCCTCTCCCTCCACTTCTTTATTGTTTCTTCTCCATATATTTTTTTTTCCTGGATGGGAACAGCTGGGATTTCAGAAGAGCTCTTCTTGTTGCTCTTGGAAGGGGCAGGGGAAAGATGGAGTTGTTCTTTTTTCCCTTCCTCTGAGAAAATATGCAAATGCTCTGCTTTTTTCTGTACCTGAGAAATGGGGCAGTAAAAGTGTCTTCTCCTCGTAGCTGGGCTGGAATATACACAGATGCTGAGCTCCCCATGATGAGAGCGTGGCTCAATGTTGTGCCCAGATCAGGAGAGTTGGGAGCGCACCAGTATCAAACAATGAGTTACTTGTAGATGTCCTCAGAGCTATCAACAGAAATATGTTTTAAAGCCACTCTCTGGGTGTTTGCATTCTCCCATAAACATTTTTTATGTAGGCAATTTCAATATGCAAAGTGACCAAATCTGGTTTTAAAGCAATAGCTCGCTGATTTGAAAAATGGAGTTTGTTCTGCCCTAATGCAAAAAACTCAGCATTATTTCACTCAGCAATGAAAACCTGAAGTATTGATTTTGAAATGTATAATTGATTGTAACAATAAATCACTGGGCAGTATATGTGCAAAATTGATTTCTCTATTGCAATAATTAATTTGATACGTGCTATAATATATTTATGCAGGGCCTAAGCAACTCAATAATGGTAATAAATTGTATTTGGTCAAAAACTATCCACTGTGACGTGGTTGACTTTTCTCTTTGTCTAGAATTTGTAATACGGCGCTGTAAGAGATAGTATAGATACAGTTGTGCTTTTGCGAGGCCTTGCTCCGTGAGAAACCCTTAATACCCTGAATACCTTATATCGTGCTGAGTAAAAACACCCGAAGGATTGGAGACTTGCGAGGAACAGCTGGTGCCCGGATTGTTTTAGCAGAGAAACGTTCATGTACAATATCAGCTCTCTTATCAGTCCAGCCCAGTAAATCTGGTGTTTTTTCCTGGACAAGTTGATAGAAACTGTAATAAAGAATAGAATGAATAGACATATGGATGAACATGATATGACGAGGAGGGATCAATACAGCTTTTGTGGAGGAAAGTCCTGCTTCACATGCCTATTAAAGTCCTTTGAAGGAATCGTTGAGCACATGGGCAAGGAGATCCAGTTGATATCGTTGGCTTGGGTTTCCTAAAGCCTTTTGATAAGATCCCTCACAAAAGGCTCCTGAAGAAATGTGGCTGCTGCAGTGTAAGGAAGAAGATCCCTTTGTGATAAGCAACCGATGCGATGGAGAGCAAAGGACGGAGAGAGGTGTTGGCTTGGCTCGGCCGAGGAGCGCCGGCGGCGGAGTCGCCCAGCGATGCGTGCTGGGGTTCACGCTGAGCGGTGCACAGGGTGGAGAGTGAGGAAACACGGGTTAGCGATTTAGCGTAGCGAAAGTGAAAGCTGATTGCTAAAAATCCTTACAACGCTGAGTGACTGGGAGATAAAAGAGTAAGTGAAATTGCTTGTGGTTAAATATAAAGTGACGCAGAGAAAACACGCGTAGCTGCTGCTGTGCCCTGAGCTAGCTGCTGCTGCTCGGGAAGGAGGTCTTGCTGTTTCAAGTCTGGAAGCACAGTGGTCTGGTAAAGCACCACTGAGTGTTTGGGTTTATTGGAAGATGAACAGGGTTGAAAAGAAAACGATCACTGCAGCGCTGCGCAAACCTGCCGTGCGCCCTCCGCCAAACACGGGAGGGAAGAAAAGGTGCAAGAGAAGGTGGCAGGAATGGCCAAGTACGTGGACTGGCTTCTGAATCACAGTATGTGACAAAATTCCTTCAGCCCTTTCTCCAAGGAGAGAGGTGGCAGAGACGGGTGTCTGGGGGTGTAGGGATGTGTCGGGAGCCATCGGGAAGGGACTGAGCACCCTGATCTAGTTGAAGCTGTCCCTGCCCATGGCAGGGGGGCTGGACGAGATGACCTTTAAAGGTCCCTTCCAACCCAAACTATTCTATGAATCTATGATTCTATGGTTTCAGTTTGGGCTATTAGGCTGAGATAAGATCCCTCTTACAATCTAGCAAGCAACATTTCGAAAAAAATAAGTGATCGGTCTTGGTTAATTGCATTGCTGCTGACTGACGAATGGCTCAGCAAAAATTATCTAATGTGTTGGGATCGGCAATAAGTTTATTCCCAAGAGGTTTGACTCTCTTTACATTGATATAACGAGGGTGCAATAACATCTCCATGAACGTCTGTGGAATTAAAATGGCACAGAATTGTTAGAACTGCTCAGGTTGATATTTGTATCCTACAGTCAAAAAGAGGTGACTTCGGGCTGAAAAGCGAAGTGAGTTGCAGTGTCTACTCAACCCCAGAGCTGATATTTCTAGTACCGTAGGTATTCTAGTGACCAGTTGAAATGAAAAATTCCTGAAAAGGGAGAAAATTTACTACCTAAATCCATTGTCTATATGGCCATCCACTGCTAGAGAATGTACAGTTTTCTTTATGCCAGCATGAATCTTTTTAGATCCAGTTTTGGTTTTCTTCTCAAAATAACAACTTAGTTGAATACATGTTGTTATTAGAAAAACATAGCCTTTTTCTTTTTCCTTTTTTTTCCCCCCCTTCATTTTATGTGCTTTATTTCTGTCATTTCTTTGCAGGAAAAAAAAAAAATCAACAATAATATCTCTTCTTTTACAGAGCATCAAAGTTAGCTGGTTGCCTCCACCACCAGGTACTCAAAATGGATTTATTACGGGCTATAAAATCCGACATAGAAAGACTACCCGCAGGGGTGAGATTGAAACACTGGAGCCAAACAACCTCTGGTACTTGTTCACAGGTCAGTGTTCACATGGTACAGCCTTGCAAGGTTTTGATGAATTAAATGCTTTGGGAATAAAATATACTTTCACTTCAAGGGAACATTGATTTCTTTGCTGGCAGGTAGCATTTATTGTGTTGTACAAAGACAATCCTTATGGTGCTTTTTTTAAACCAATTTTTCCTTAATGCTTTTATCATATGTTTGTCTCCTGGATTTTATCATTAATGAATTTGAAGCTGAATTTCTTGTGTCCAGTATCTTAAGCCTCAGTTGGTTTTTTTAGAGCACGCAGTCAACATCTCCTATTTTCTCATGGGTGCAAAAATATCGATTTCCCTAGTTTCTTTTCCAAGATTTTCAATGGAAAATACCTCCTCGCAGAATAAAAAGTGCGACAGTAGATCATAGCAAAACTGTAATTGCCATGAATGAAAATAGCCAGATGAGTATCGTAAGGGTAACAGTGAATTCTGGTAGGTGAAAATGAATTTCACCTGGTTTGTTGCATTATGCCCAAGACATAACTGAGAAAGCAGCAAAGTATCAAGGGAGAAAATTAAACTTTGTCAAACTTTTGCCCCTGAATTCAGTATAACCATGATTTTACCTCAAATGACCTGCATTATGTTTACTTTCAGATGTAAAGTGTAATCTGTGAGGATCAGAAGTAATTCTGAATTGCACATTTCAGAATAAACTGTATCATTTTCTGTTTTGGAAGGAAAAGGAGTATTTTATTTCAAAATTAAATAAAAGCAAAAGTAGAACATTTTTTTGGGGAAGACCTTAAATATTGAAATCCCAGCATAGGCTAATCTTAACGTCATCTAACGTAGGCTCTTGACCAAAGTCCCCATGGGACCTCTTCTGAAGGCTACATAACTAATAGCTGCACAACGAACAACTACTTTCTGGGGGGAGATAGCATGCTAAGCATGTTTGACTAGTTGGAAGGGATCTGTTTTCTGGCAGATAAAGCAGAAATAATGATGAAAGCTGCTCAGATGTTTGAGTTGCTGCTGCTCTGATGGCCTAGAGAAGAAAACGTAGCGATGCAGTCAAAGTGCCGGAGCGAAGGCACGTACCTCCATAGCTCCACTGCCACCATCCCTGCAGGTCCCATCTCTGTGGAAGCAGAGCAGATTAATCTCTATTGTAGACCCCCACGTCCTGAGCAAACTCCTTCTTTCACATGAATTATTCCGGGCTTGAAGAGCTGCAGGAGTCCTGGTGGGACTGTGCTGCAGGCAGCCCCAGCCCTCCTGCCTGCCCTGGCTGCCGCAGCCCCACCGCAGCTCGCCTCCCTGCAGCCCCAAGTGCTTTCTTTCACAAAGCTTGGGAATACGTATCTTAGAAAGCAATTAAGAAAAATATCCAGATCTCGTTATGACTTTCTGCGTGTGTATATTGTGATTGCTGGAGACCGAGCTACGTGGCTCTTCTAAATGGACATTTTAAATATTAACGTGTAGGCACTTCACATCTTTGCTGCAATCCTATTTGGTAGGCAGGTGCTTTACGGGATAATAAGAACATCTGCAATAGCAGAGGAGTTTAGAGTTACGATGCAGGTTTTTAAATAGCCACTATCAATTTTAGAGTAGCCTTCCATGTCAGCTAAATGTTAAACTGCTCTTTTTAATTATGAGCGTTCTTTCCCGGAGAATGTTTGCAATTAAATGAGACGGGTTTTTCCTGTGCTTTGTGGTCAGTATAGACTGAGCAAAAAGATAAACCTATATCCCCACCGCAGGGACTTGGAAGTCTTGTGGCACGTTCGGGAATGCTGCAGTAATTGTTTTCTGGTGGCTTTAGCCACAGAGGAAAACATCTGTTCCTGAATTCATGCTTATTTCATAATATTGGTAAGACTTTATATTTTTTGCCTGAACTGTGTGCTCTGAAGTTAATCAGGAGCCCCAGAAAGCAAAACGCTCTTCAGTTGCTAACTTAGTTCCTAGCCTGTAAATTTTATGCATAAGGAGAGTGTACCTGCAGTTCCCTGCATGTTAAAAGCAGTGAGCTGTTTTTGTTAAGTGTGCAATTAATGGCTTAGTTACGTAAAACAATTCTTCATTTTTCTACTATTTGGACTTCCATTAATTTTGTGTGTATGCACACAACCGATGGGAATTACGACCCAAACTAGTCCTGGGCCGGTGCAGCCCTCATTCAACTTATGAAGCCTTTTCCTTTGGTCAAAAATCTCTTTTCCCGCGTGAATAGCGAGCTCCCCCAGAGCCGTTCCGCTACAGCCCTGCCCGGGCGCTCGCGCGGAGGCCGCTGCCCACGCGGCATCCCCACGCGCGTGTGCCGTATGGCGCACTCTGTAAACCGGAATATATGCATTTCTGTGTATTTCCTTACATAGGGCAAGTCCAATGGACTGTTACTAGAGATTTCATTTTACGCAAAGTCTATTGCAAAATCTGGTATTGTCATTAATTTGTTGTTGTTTTCATCTTCTTTTTTCTGTATGATTTTTATATGCCTTTTGTTTTTTTTAAACAGGACTTGAGAAAGGAAGCCAGTACAGTTTCCAGGTGGCTGCCATGACAGTGAATGGGACGGGGCCCCCCTCGGACTGGTACACAGCAGAAACACCTGAGAACGACCTTGACGGTAAATGCATCTCTTTTAAAAGCTGTTGTCTCCAAAGCCTGCTAGCGTATAGCCGAGGGGTGTCACTGCAGTTGTCACCCAAGCCGAGGTTAGGGTGAGATGCCCGGGCTCTAAACACCCACCAGCAGATGTTTTCTTGTACTCCTGGATCCGTATGCCTTGTGTTGTGTTTCTCTGTCGTCACCAGGACCAAGGAGTCAGAAACCTTTGTTAAAATAATTCCCTGCCAGAATTTAGCTCCTGAGCATCATGGCCGTTTGCAATAATACAGTGAAGGGAATCCGTAACTTCATAAATGGTAAACGTAATCAGTCAAAGAAACAATGAAAATGATGCCAACGATCCTAACAATTCACTAAGCAAATATTCAAATAGGTCAAATCCTGTTTCCCAGCCTTTATTTGCAGATGTTAGAAATGCAGGTTGGCAATGAAGCTGAATAATTAGTGAAAGATGACAGGATGCAGATACCTGAAAACTGTGGGCTGTATAAATCAGTGCAGATGCTGACACAAAAGGGAAGAAAAACATTGAAATGAAAGGGTTAGATAAAATGACTGGAATATTTGAAGTAGTAAAGGAATAAAAGGAGAGTAATGAAAAAGTCTACCTAAAAAAATTAAACAGAGTGCAAATCAAATGGAACAAAGAATCCGACAGATGGATGTCACGGCCAAAGTACGGACAATCTGTAAGAAGCAAATATGTAGTAGAAAGGAGATGAATAGAAAATAAAAGGAAACTGATGAAAATTGCTATGATTTTTAAAACAAAATAAGTCACCTAAAAAGGATCAAAGGCAAACTGGATGAAAGAATAAATAAATAATCAGTTTAAGTGCACCATAGTACTTGATGCTGCCTTTCTTTTGACTGGCCGGATTTCCTTATGATCTCAAAATCAACCCTTGCAAATTGAAGAATTCCTGCCTTTCCCTATGTCCAAATGCAATTTTCCAGCAGACTGGGAGGCACAGCAGTGCATGGCATGCAAAATGGGAGAACCAGTACCCGTGGTTTCTCATCAAGGTTTTCAAGAAGATGTGGTGCTTTTAGACGCGTTGTAACTATACCAACGGATCACAACATGCCGCGGTGCATGGTGGTATCTTTCTAATTATGCTTTGGTTAGACAACAATTTGAGAAATGACGTTGTAAAGGTGGAAACAGCTGACTTTTCACTGGTGAGAGTAAAAGATAAATTCTTAACACACTGCAGTATGCAAAAAGAAAGTAACACATTTGAGCACATTCGTTTTGATTTGCATTTGGCACACACTACGTTCCTTTGAAGTTTTTGTGCCCAAATACACATGGTCATGCAAAGGTGTTAATCGAGTAGTCGCAGGAGACGCACGATGGAAATAGGTGCATGCGAATAAATTTAAGCAAAACCATTTTGTTCATGTATTGCATTTACATGCATTTGCATTTGCAGTAGTGATGAATTATCCTCGTGAAGCTGCAGCAGCCTGATGCTGGGAATGCATCCTGTTGCATACTAGATACAAATGCTCTGATAAACCCTGGGGAGAAATCTTCTTATTACTGTAGTTCTGCAGAGCCCTCAGGTGTCAGCCAGGGAAGGGCTGGAGCACAGGCTGGTAACTGCAACCCCCTCTCTGCTGCTATGGCTAATGCAGTTTCTCTTGCTTTCACTGGAAGCCTGGTTGGCATCAGCAACAGAAAGACGAACAGTATCCTGGAGAGCGGCGTCAACTCCCAATGGACATTAATTTTAATTAGTGTGTTTTGTTAAAGTGATTGGAAATCCAAACATAGCTGCTTCTTCAAGCTAGAAAGCTCGTGTGCCTTTACTGACAGCTGAGAAGGTTTTAAATATTTGTGTGCCGAAGGGTTTGATTTAAGTAGCTTGAGCAAGGGTGCAAGAGAATCTCTGGTCAACTTTGCAAAGGTATCCTCCTTTGCAAGTGGAGTTTAGGATGCTTGGTTTCCGATTACTGCACTGAACAGGTGGAAGCTGTTATACGTATTAGATAGTGATATAGTTTAGCTTCAGCTCTAAATTAGTGCTTTAAGAGCGTGACAAGCTAGACTGCTGTCATATTGTAATTTATACTGAAAAGTGATTGGGGAAATATGTGAACAAAATGGGACCAGTTAAAACTACCCTGACTTTGTAAAATAGACATCTTTGAATGTCTAAGAAAATTGCTGACGTGACCCAAATGTAAAGCAATTTTCAAGTGTGCCAGTGGAATTCGGGACCTTTAAGTAGCACTAAGTGCGGTGTTCCCTGGATGGAAGACGTGGGTGCTCAAACCGTCGCGTAGAAACAGCGAAGGATGCAGAGGCACGCCTGAGCAGACGTGGCGTCCCAGGAGGAGATGTCACACCAGGCAGTGACACCGAACTTCAGCTTCCGTTTCCTGGGAACCTAGTTGTCCATAAGGGAAGGGAGTAAGAAATGCAGCACCAAGAAGTCAGGTTTCATAGGCAGATCTCCTGAGGAACTCTCCTCCTGCGTGCCAGATGCTGGTCTGTGGGGCTGGCTGACGTCCACAGCTCGTGTGTCTGAGCACAGCACTTGCTTACAAGTACTCAAAGATTTCCCTACGTGAGAGCAAGTGATGAACTCTGGTGCAGTTAAGAGCGGGGACACTAAATTTGGCTCATTTGGGACTTAGGATGAAGGAGTCACGTAGGAGAATGGGATCTCAAGGTCGCTTCTCAGTAGTTCTGGCATCACGTTCAAGCCCAGGAGAAACAAAAGTAAACATATTGGTCTAGTGCTGCAAGGAAATAGCCTGACAAAGAAAGCAGG